GGCACTTTAACAGAATTTTCTCCTACAGATCTATTCCATTCTATGCTAAATCTGATTTCTTTATGATCACTGTTCCCTAGCTCACTCCCTATTTCCATGTCCTTAATTTGTGTTTCCCTGTTAGTTAACACTAAATCTAAAATATTATTTCCCCGCGTTGGTTCCTTAATGTGTTGCGTAAGAAAGCAATCGTCAATTAATTCTAGAAAATCTTCTGCTTCATTATTCCCTGTTTTGTTCACCCAGTTTATTCCACTAAAATTAAAGTCACCCATGACATAAATACTGTTAGATCTAGATGCTCTAGATATTTCATCCCATAGATGCTTTGCTTCCATTCTGTCTAAATTTGGTGGCCTATATATAACTCCTATTATAATATTATTTGCTTTTTCGTTTAATTCTATCCAAATAGTTTCTGTGTGTGGCTCAGTTTTGATTCCCTCTTTGAGACTACATTTCAAATTGTCCCTAACATATATGGCTACTCCCCCTCCTCGTCTAATATATCTATCTGTGTGAAATAGTTTAAATCCATTTATTTGATATTCAGCTAATAGTTCTCTATTTTCTACATTCATCCACGTTTCGGTAAGTGCAATAATATCTATTTTTTCTGTACAGACAAGAGCATTTAACTCGTTTATTTTGTTTCTTAGACTTCTACTGTTAGTGTAATATACCCTAAGTGAATTGTTATTTTGAGGCCCTTCTCTTTCCCTGATCATTTTGCCAATTTGTTTCTCCAACAAACACATACTTTTATTACCTCCTTCCTCCCTATCAATTCCCATACCACTATCTACTAACAGTTTAAACCCAAACAAATGCCTCTAACCACTGGTTCCAACGAGTTCGCAACAGCAACAACCCCAGCCCTCGATAGATGCACCCCATCACGAGCATACATTTCATTTCTTCCATAGAAGTGTTCCCAGTTGTCTATGAAAGATATTGCATTTGATTTGCAATATCTTTCCAGCCGGCAATTGACACCAAGTGCCCTCGACAACCATTCATTCCCAACGCTCTTTCTTGGAAGAATGCCACATATGATCGGGATTCCTCCCTTGCTCCTAACTAATTCTATGGCTTTGTTAAATTTCTTTATCAGTTCCTCACTCCTAACTCGTCCAACATCATTACCCCCTGCACTAATACAAATAATGGGTTTGTTCCCATTTCCCGTCATAATATCTTTCATGTTGTCAACAATATCTCCAATTCCAGCTCCCGGATAGCAGACCCTTAACCTGTTCCCCCTATCTCTGGCACAAAACGTCCTGTCCAAATACCTCACCTGGGAATCACCCACAACCAAAACCCCCTTAGGCACCCCCTCAACTTTCTGAGCACTTAGAGGGGCCTCTGCTTCGTTGCTCTTCGTTGATTTCCGCCTCGAGTGATCTGCAGGCTCACCACAGCACTCGTCTTCCAACACGGCAAATGAATTTGATGCCCTTAGGGCGTCTGTAGGCGGCCTTGTCAAGGTCTTCTTAAGACCCCTGTCCTTAACGACCTTCCACGACAAGGTCTTGTTAATATTGGTTTCCTCCTTCGTTTCTTCCCGATGTTTCAGCTGTCGTACCTCCTCACGTAGGGAATCCATCTCTGCTCTCAGAGTTCCAACTAGATTCATCAATTCCTTCACTAATCCTTCCATTATTGCTGTAATAATGTTACTACAATCGGAGCTCCAGCTAACACAACCTCTCACTGTGACTGGTCTCCCAGACCAAATGGTGACCAAATGGTGGTGATGAGGAAGATTGATTGATGAAGATTAAGCCACCCAAGAGGTGGCACGGGCATGAATAGCCCGTAAGTGGTGGCCCTTTTGAGCCATTACCAGTATCAAAAGATGATACTGGAGATCTGTGGAGGTGCGACTGCACCCTGCGTGACGGGAGATGTCTCCCGGACCAAATGGTGACCAAATGGTGTGATGAGGAAGTAGAGACAGGCAATAAATAGGCAAGAGAGAGGTGAGGAGCAAAGTAAGGTGTAGTAGAGGGGATAGTAGTAGGAATAAGAGCTGCAGAGGGCCGACAGGCCCATACGAGGCAGCTCCTATTATAACCACCGAATGAGGAGGAGATAGTAATAGGAATAAGAAGAGGATAGCAAGAGAACGTAGGAGAAGACAATGAACAGAAAAAAGAGAGAAGAGAGAAAGAAAAAGAAAGAGAAAGAAAGATAAATGAAAGGGTAAGCTTATGTTTGGTCACATTTGTTAGAAAGATTAGAGCATTTGAGTATATACTGTGAAAGGGAAGAGTCAGCATTGGGTGTGAGTAATGAGGCAGCATAGTTAGCATTGGGTGTGAGTAATGGGGCAGCATAGTCAGCATTGGGTGTGAGTAATGAGGCAGCATAGTTAGCATTGGGTGTGAGTAATGAGGCAGCATAGTTAGCATTGGGTGTGAGTAATGAGGCAGCATAGTTAGCATTGGGTGTGAGTAATGAGGCAGCATAGTTAGCATTGGGTGTGAGTAATGAGGCAGCATAGTTAGCATTGGGTGTGAGTAATGGGGCAGCATTCTCAGCGTTGGTTTTAGATACATATGATGGTTTAAATTTCATGAAAATTCAACTGTAAATAGTGAAACTGCACGAGAAAACTAAGACTGAGATCAGGAGCTACAGCTTAACAACTCTGTTTACTTTTCTTACTTCATCTAAGATAACTATATATTAAATTTCAGGAAAATTGATCTTTTATTAACAAAAATACACAAAAATGTCTAGAGGTCGTTTCAAGAACTGAAGTCTGACACTACCATTTACATCGTACAATCCTAATTAACAACTTTACCCGAAAATGTACTCTCTATGACTATAATTTAAATCTTCAAACAAAGACTGTTTTTAGCGACGATATTTTGTTATGGAAAATATATCGCTGCTAAGCGGTCATAGTTTTAAAAGTGGAATTTAGGTCGCGGTCGGACCGGAAAAATATCTCTCCAGTTATTTTTGTTGGCTAAATATCTCCAGTCGGCCAAAATTTGTTGGTCGACTGGAGATAATTAGCGAGTGCTTTGACTGTTTGATATTTTACATGTAATGTGAGGTCACCTCCTCGTAATATATGCTCGGTGGTAAATGGTATTTAAGTGCGATACGTACTTGTTTGACATTTACTCTGGCACTATGATGTCGAAAACGGTGAAGGAGGTAATGTTCGATTGATTGTGGCACATGACAGTGGATGCAAAGTTTGTTGATGTCTATTATGTATTTAGAGCTGAGCGCTGCCAGTTTGGTGTGTCCCAGCCTTAATCTGGTCATCAATATATGAATTTCTCTGCTTTTTATATCCGACATGTTTCCATGTTAACCATTTCTTTTTTTTTATGGACCCATATTATGGAAATGCGTATGAAGTTTTCCTTTTCGTAACAAATCTTGGGTGATGGTATCTTTAAAGACTCCTTTATGTGCTATATGAGGAATTGGATGATGGGTAATGTAATCAATTTGGCCAGTTGATCAGCAAGTTCATTCTGGAGTATTACACAGTGCGCTAGGACTCATTGGATTGAGATGTAACCTTTCAATCAATGTTCATGGAGAAGTTGAATGCATGGAAGGATAAATTCTTTGCACATCGTCGAAGAATATGTAATTGCTTGAATCGCACTCGTGGAGTCACTACAGATCGTATATATCCTAACTGGTAATGTTATAATTCTTTGTAGATCTTGGTATAAGGCGTATAATTCAGCTGTGAAAATAGATAGTTGGCTAGGTAACCGCCATCCTTGGTCGAGATAGTATTGCGGGATCCATCATACAGCGCTTGTGACCGAGGGTACGTTGTTCATCCAGCTGTGTAAACAGCCGTGGTATTTAGATAGAAATTTTTCATCGTTGAAACAAAAACTGAGGCTATGGCTGAGTTTGGTGAAGACTTTAGAATGGTGTCTTGCAGTTGTATTGATGTATAATTGTATGTATAATTAGTATAATAGTATGTATAAATGTATAATTGCAGTTGTATAAAGCCAAGGTTGAATATAAAATCAGGACAATAAGTTGGGTTTCAGAGATTGGGAGTAAAGTGAGGTCTATATTGAGGTTATATGTAGCCCGTTCGAGGAAAGATTGTGATTGGTGGGGAACTATGTGGGCTAACTGTTGGGGTAATTTTTTATTTGTATGGGTTTATCGGATGATCAGTGGAACAGAGTGACAGTTGGCACACATTATGTCTGGTCTGGTGGCTAAGAATGTGAGGCCCGTTTTCCCCTGAAGGCCGAGGATAGGAACGGAACGCATTGCGCCACACATAAGTCGCATATTGTTTTGTATGACCTCAAGGCTCTGAAAGTTAGCTGGCGCAGCCGACGCATATGCCTGGCAGTTGGCTACCAATGAAGGTTGTATAGAAAAGGAACAAAATTTTATGATGTGCTCCCCAGGTGGAGTACACCATAAAGCCAGTGAGGGCTTTAAGTTTGGCGAGTCGTGGTTGTGTCTTCTGTTTAAGGTGTTGAATGTGTGCTTTCCAGGTAAGTGAGGGGGAGTCTAAGTGCATGCCAAGGTATTTATGTTCTCGTACGTATTGGATGGGAGTGTTGTGTATTGTGAGGGTGGGTAGATGAACAAGTCTTTTTTTTCTTTTTTAGTGAAGATCTGAAAACAGGTTTTAGTAGTATTAACTTGGAGACCCCATTGTTGTGTTCAGGCAATGAGGTGGTCAAGTGCTGTATGCATTATTAAGACTATTAGATAGGGTATTGTCTGAATAATACAATGCTAAATAATCGGCGTACGCTAAGAGGTGATGAGTGAACTTCTCCGTTCTCCACACTATGGGAAGGAATCACAAATGTGAGGTAATCAGGAGAAAGTATTAAGCCAGTATGATCTTAACACAGACCAGATCTTTTGTCACACAAGAGCCCACCCCCTTCCCCTAACACCTTCCCTGCCAGTGTCCACCATGACCTGCCACCAATAAAGGTAACCCCCATTCCTCTCTCTGCCTGTGCCAGGACTACACCGTGGACCTGTACCTGCGTCAGCGCTGGCTGGAGCTGAGGTTCCTCAACAACACTCTGACGCGGCCGCTGGACCTCAACGACCCCATACTCGTCAAGATGCTGTGGAAGCCCGAGGTTTACTTCCCCAACGCCAAGGACTCCGACTTCCAGTACGTCACTGTACCAAACGTCATGCTGAGGATACACCCTGATGGCAGCATCCTCTACATCCTGAGGTACGTCCACACCAGCCTGGCACTTGAGTCTTCACTTGGTGCTAAACATTCTCCCCGTCTTGGTGCCTTCTTTTGATAATTACTTGTTTTTGACTATATTGCTATGGAATCCTTGTCCTCTGCTTCTATCACTAACTGCATATTCATGACCATCCTAGGATGACAGCTAGAAATAAATAGCTACTATGGAGTTATTACAAGTTTCTGAATAACATACCACAAGGTTTCCTGTACAGTCAGCAGCCATTCAAGTGCAACGAATATGTATAAAATTAATATTTCCATGTGCTTTGGTATGTTTATGTTCATATTTTACACACAAAAATTCATAGCAGATTAGATGTAGAGAATCTATACTATAAAAGCAAATGTCTGTTTATTTGTCCAAGGTGAAGGCCAGATGTTTGGGGCTAGCCTCACATAATTTTGCAGGGAAAATGGTCTCTGGTACGGGACGGACATAGGCTGCTTGTGGTCGGCCGGTATACGAAACAATGGATATATATTTAATAAGTTTAGCTGGGAAAGACCTGGATAAATATTGTTTTGGAAACAAGTAAACAAAGAAACAAGTTAGTAGAGCGGTTGGTTACTGTCTATGTGATCAGCGGTTTGAGGCTCAAAGTGACCAGGCGAATGAAATGTTATTATCGTCAATTGATTGATTGATGAAGATTAAGCCACCCAAGAGGTGGCACGGGCATGAATAGCCCGTAAGTGGTGGCCCTTTTGAGCCATTACCAGTATCAAAAGATGATACTGGAGATCTGTGGAGGCGCAACTGCACCCTGCGTGACAGGAGATGTCTCCCGGACCAAATGGTTCCCAAATGGTGTATCGTCAATATGGGTGTTAGCAATTTATATGAATAGGACATGGATCACCTAACACCCCATGGGAAGACCTAAAGTTGTAGTTGAACAGCAGATAGGTGCCTTAACAAATACCAGTCTGTAATACCACCACGTGTGATTTTCATTAAGTCTGATATTAAAATCACAGATGTGTTTTCCGTAGAATTGACAGGCGTATTTTCACGATTTACTCAGAAACATTGAATACATTCGGGTTGCAGTGATGATAGTGGGTAGTGAAGATGGTTATGGTGATGAAGATAGTATATATACAGTGAAGATGTAAGATGTCGGGGGGGGGGGGGGGGGGCAAGATGAAGGGAGACAGGAAAATGTGGGGAGAGGGAGACAAGGGGATGATGAGGGGAGAGACAGACAAGGGGAAAGAGGAGGGGGAAAGGACGAAGAGAGAAGGACAGAGTGGGAAAGGAGAAGATATATTTATATAGATATAAATGGAAATATATGCTCAAGGTCAGACATCACGGGAGACATCTCCCGTCACGCAGGGTGCAGTCGCACCTCCACAGATCTCCAGTATCATCTATTGATACTGGAAATGGCTCAAAAGGGCCACCACTTATGGGCTATTCATGCCCATGCCACCTTTTGGGTGGCTTAATCTTCATCAATCAATCAATCAAGGCCAGATGGGGAAGAAGGATAGAAGAGAGTGGTGATAGGTACAGGGGGTTGAGCGGAAGGGTAACGAGAATGGGGAAATGAGGGAGATGGAAGGGAAGAAAGGGAATCACCAAAACGCCAGTTGAAGTCACCTCATTGTCCCAAATTCATTGATATATCAATGAATTTCTCATATATATATATATATATATATATATATATATATATATATATATATATATATATATATATAGCCAGAACGCACTTCTCGGCCTACTATGCAAGGCCAGATTTGCCTAATAAGCCAAGTTTTCCTGAATTTATATATTTTTCTATTTTTTTCTGATGAGATGATAAAGCTATCCATTTCATTATGTATGAGTTAAGTTCTTTTAATTTGAGTTCAAACTAATGTAGATATATGACCGAACCTAACCAACCCTACCTAACCTAACCTATCTTTATAGGTTAGGTTCGGTTAGGTAGCCGAAAAAGTTAGGTTAGGTTAGGTTAGGTAGTCGAAAAACAATTAATTCATGAAAACTTGGCTTGTTAGGCAAATCGGGCCTTGCATAGTAAGCTGAGAAGTGCGTTCTGGCTACTAGGTACGTCATATATAATATAATATAATATAATATAAAGTTTGTGAGGGTACCACCTCTGGTGCTAATGTGGGTGGCCCATGGCCTCGAAGAAAATAAAAAGTATTCAGAGAAGACCTTGTGGTTTCTCACTGAACACTAATATTATCTTCTCCTACCACCCCCATTCTTTTGTACGTACACATATATATTTGCTTTATTTGAACTTTGTTACAAAAAAGGAGTTACATATAGGGTACAAATATGGTTATCATAAGTTGTCGAGTTCCTCCAGCTGCTCAGATGCGGGCAGGAACCCTGGATGCAGTGCACATTTCCCCTCTGTATCGCCATGCTGAGGTGCTGGGAAAGAAAGCTGGCAGCTCTAGAGTCTCTTGTTGTCTCAATGAGCTTAGAACCCAGTTCCTTCAAAAAACTGGCAGCACTTTTACCCCAGGCGCCGAGTGTCTCAGAAGCAATGGGGACAAAATTGTAGTGGTGATCCAGTTCTCTGTACTTACGGGATTTGCCTGCTTCCCTGTGGGTGGCAGCGCCACCTGGTTGTGCAACACTGAGGTCAATGTAGGTGTTAGCCAGGGTTGATACGCACGTGTAGTCCCATACCAACTGCTTGCCATTCTTCCAGGGGTTCACTGTGATACCATCCGGGCGACCAATAAGAGCATCAGAGTTACGGGGCGTTAGGTAACGGGGCTCTCTTTCAGCTGGGCATCCAGCTGTGTTGAGGCTCCTCTTGATGATGTCGTTAACTTCACTGTGCCTCGAGTGCCATCCCCCTGTGCTTTGGCAGAGTAGGCCATGGTGGCCGTACCTGTCAGCCACCACCTCGCCGCAAATACACCTATATCTGGTGTGGATTGGGGCAGCAAGGCGGAGGGCCACAGCAATTCGGAGGGCGTGTGGTGTGAGACGCGTGCCAGTTGCCGACATTGGGGTTGCTAACAGGAAATCCCCTGCATGTGGTGCTGCTACTGCTGTGAGGCGAGCAATGTCGTGTTGTGTTGTTGCAGCACCCAGGCACTCTGCAGCAACTTGGTCTATTTCCAACCTTTTTCCCAAAGGTTTTCCTTTTTCTTTTTTTCAACTCCCAACCTATTCCCAAAGCGAACCCAGCTTCAGAGTTTTATTACCCAAACGGAAACAGTGTACTTACATCAATGGCCCGCAACCTTCTTTCACTCACACATACACGTCAATCACACTCCCACTGCTGCTGCTGGATGATGACGTAGGCGTCCTCACTTCCTACACGTGGTCAGGTAGAGCACAGGGTCCTAGACCAAGGGGTTAGCTCTACACACAGAGAGACCAGGATGGCGCAGACACACCGGCTTAGGCAAGCCAGGGTGCGCACAACAGCAGGGATGCGGTACCACGCCCCTTCCACTTGACACGGTACCCCAGGATACGACGGTACACGGTGTTACACGGTACACGAGACCCGAGACGGAGTCCTTCACTGTTCCTCAGAGTTAGAACTTTTAAGGTTTCTCTCATAACACTGAAACCTTTTCTAGCACGTCTCACAGCAGTATCTTCAAGCACAGATACGATGGACGGCGGATGTCGTTTTCGTAGCCCGATAATTAACGCCTCACTCAGTCCAGTTCCTCTAAGATGGCGTCCCACAATTACGCGGCTAGATGACAAGTTCACACGGCTCGATACAAGCCCCTTTCCGATTACTGGATTCTTACGTACGGCACACGGAAAGATAGCAAGATGTAGGCGTGACTTTAGTAACGTTGCAGGCGGTATTTCCCGATGCTTGGCCTAGCACGGGAAATGTCGTCCTCACTATGCAGCGTCTTAGGTAAGAATGTCTTTCCCGCCAATATCATGCCTGGGGTACCATGCAGTACCCCTCAGCGTCTTGGCCAATCACGGTTCAGCATTTCTGAGGCCCCAGGCCCTTAGCCAATCCCGCACCTGCCCCATGACGCTACCCCCTCTCACACGAGGTGGACACGTGATAGGAGGGGTGGTCTACGGCCGTTAACCCCCCATACCTCCCTCTCTACACTTGACTTGTACAAAAATTTCCCTGAAATCAACTCCCTTCTGTAATTTCCTTCACAGACCAGATACAGCGATCAGAATGACATCAATGGCTAGCAAATGCCATGGGCTGTCCAACGACACCCAACACGACTGTGGAAAAGTTATATTCAGAAAGTTGAATCACGGAGCACATCACTGGTGCACTATGCAATTTCGTACTTAATTCAGTGCACGAGAGAGCAGGGAAAATATGTCCCCTGACATCAACCTCCCACTAAGGGTTTATTTCACTGGAAGCGAAATACACCCCACCATTTTACCAGCTCGATGGTGCACTGTGCACGAGCTGTCACACACACTGACAGCTCACTTCCGGCTGGGTAGTGGTGGGTGGAGACTCCGTTTTCTATGCGTCGTCGCCCTGAGAGACTTGGGGTGACTCCTCCGATTCGTCCTGGGTAGTGTTACCTGACTTAGGCGCAGAGTGGTGCTCGGCTCCAGGGCCAGGCTCTAGCCGGCTCGACGCCTCGAAGCTAGGCTGGACCCCAAGCTCTGCAGCTCCGGCTTCAGTCTGTGTCATACCGGACACACTAGCAACACCCTGGGATGGACTACCCGGAGAGGCACTATGCACTATCTTCACTCTCCTCCGACCTTGATGATGCATCATCACGTTCCTCATAACATTTTAACATGTTAACATGGTACTTCTTATTGACCCCCGTTACGCATATGACGTACGTCAATGAGTGACTGCACTCAGTGATGGTGAAGGGTCCCTTCCACTGTAGCAGGAGCTTGTTCCTGCTTGTAGGGAGGAGTAGTAGTACTTTATCTCCCACCTTAAACTTCCTCTCCCTGGCCTTCTGGTCGTACCTGCTCTTCTGGTACTCCTTAGCCTTGGCGAGTTCCTCCCTGG